GCCGCGGCCCAGCGGCCGTCTATCCCCAGGCACCGCGTTGTTGTCTTCTCCGTGCCGGGGCTGGTCCCTTCGGAGAGGCGTAGCCCTGTTCCCACAGAAATAAAAGGGTGAACTTTGAGGAGTAACCGAGATGAGGAGCGAGCGCGGGCAGGCCTCAGGGCCGGGGGCTGAGCAGGGCCGTCCAGGCCCGCGGGGGGGATGGGGATGCCCAGGAGCGGAGGGGCCCGCCTACGGGCAGGAGCAGGCACTCCGTCAGCAAGGGGACGCTCTCCGGCTTGGCTGTCTAGCACCGAGGAACCGCCGAGAAGTACTCCACTTCTGCTGGGTACTTCGGCTGTTACCGGGCTGGAGGGTCGGGGGGGGGTCTGTCTCTGCAGTAGATGGGGCTCATTGTGCAGAGATGGCTTGTAAAATGCGTGTGGCTGCTGGGGTGGGATCGACGGTGGGTAGGCCATGTCTTCTGCGGTCTGAAGATCCGCTTTGAGAGCCAGCTTTCCAAAATGATGTGCGTAACCGTTCTCCTTCTCATGCAGCGGTTTGGCCTTTTCCTTGAGCAGCTTCAGCTCACGTATGGATCAGGTGTCCTCTCCCCAGTGTACCCCAGAGCTTCTGGTGGTCCCAGAGTCGCCGGTCAGTCGGATACAACCCTTACCTGACTGCAGAACAGCAGAGAGAAGAAGGGTTGTAGGTGCATGACAAATACTGTCGGGGAATCCCAGTTACAACAGCCCTCCCGTGCGGTTGCATGGCACGGCTTAGGTGATCTAACAACTTACTGCCACAGAAGGGAAAAGGAGAGGTCCCGCTCTCCCTAATCCTGCTACTCCCTTTCCCTCTTCCCTTGCACAAGCCCTGATACTGATCAGTGAGCAGATTTAACTTGTTAATTCAGCAGAAAACTGCACTACGAAGAAAAGTAATAGTTTTCAGCAGTTGATACTGAATGAGCTTACTTAGTGATCAGAGCTGGCACTAAGGAGGGGGTAGAGAGGGGACGAGAGATCTGGACTGTCATCTGTTAGCAGAGGGCAGTTGTATTTGATGCAGCTGTATTCTCTAACTATACCCTTAGGCTTCAGAGCAAGAGAAACTGATTTGAGGGTGACAGCCTAATGTTTATTGTTGGAAGTCACTCATTCATTTGTTTTTGTTAAGAAGCAGATCTGCTTTCAGGAATAACAGCCAAACTACACATAAAACTACGCAATAAATTAACCAAAACCAAACCTCATGAAAGAGACGTTAGGTTGTCTTGTATAAAAGCATGTTCACCAGAATTTCCATCTGATGAAACCAAAGTGCCCTTCTAATTTGCATGGTCAACTAGGTATACAGATCTTCAGCACAGACTTCAGCCGCTTGAGGTACTGATAGCAGCCCTTGGTTTTACAGTTTATCTTCCCAAAGGATTTGGGGTATTTTTGTTTTGTTTTTAACTGAACTTGAATGGAGACAAATAAACAGGTCCCTCAACACTGTTCTTTTTATATAAATGCCGTAAGAAATAAACTACAGAATTATACTGTCTCTTTCTTCTTTTAGCCCTGAATACTTTGCATTCTTGCCTCTATGGTAGCACAGGTTCAGCAAGGAAAGGCGAGGATTGGCAGTATTTCTGCAAGCCGAGCCAGTGTGGTATGCTGGTGGTGAGAATGATTACTTTGTAGATCCACTTTGAAGTACTGGGAAGGCTGAGGAGGCCGTGAAGCCCAGATCTCAACCTTTTTAGTTCCATGTTTTGACTTTCCACACAACAGGTGAAGATCACATCTTCAAGCTGCTGAGTTAAAAATCTTAATAAAGAAGTACTGATCAGTGTTTGGGGGGGGGGGTGGAAAAAAAAAAAGACACAAGGACTGATCCTATGGAGGCAATTCCAAGCTCTGCAGTGTCATGACCTGATTTCCTATTTCCTTCCCTGCCCTGGTGCCATCTTTTAAAAGTCATCACTTTCAAGAGAGCCTCATTTCCCACTTTGCTAAAATTATCTCCAACTTCATTTTCAGGTCTAGCTGGTAGAGAGTGCTGCCTTGTAAAAGGCAATAACTCAAAAGCAGCTTTTGAGGAGAGACACAGTATTTCTGAGACTCTCACCAATCCCAGCACTGTCTTGGAAGGGTCCTGGCTGTTTCCTGAAGTAGCTGCAGTCTTAGAAGGGGTTGCCTCTCACTGACTTAAACTGTGTTCTCATAGACAGAATTTCTGAAGCTACAATGGTGCTTTGTCAGTTCTTTCTATGGGGTCAAGGCAGCAAATACCATGTGAGTGTAATAGCATGGGATGGAAGTTTTGGGCACCACCTACTCAGGGGTCCACATTTTAAGGACACGGAGAAGAAGGAAGTCTCCTCTGAGAAATCTGTAAGTGATGGTTTGTTAATACACCAGTTCACTCATGTATCCCACGATGATTCATTGAAGCTTGCGGCAAGTCACTGAAATACCTCTACAGAAAAGGAGACATTACATGTTTCCTTTGTAAGTGTGTATAATATGAAGAAATAACACCCAGTGGCCTGTTGTGGCACAAGGACAAGAAAAATGACCATCTTCTAACATCAGCCCTTACTCTCCTCTGTTTCTAGCATCTCCATCAAGAAATCTGAATAAAGCATGTTTCTAATCTTGTCTCCTTAAGGTGAGAATTTCCCTCTAAAGGTAGTGAGAATTTCCTTTGCAATAACTGATTTTTTTAAAAGACTGGTTGATTTTAATTCAGTTGTCCTTTACTGAATGAAACTACTCACTGAAGGTAAGACTCTCAGAAAGTTTGAAAGTCAAATATAGTTCTGATCATCAGAAAAATTTTCTTTCTTTTCAAAAGAGCCTCTTGCCCACTGGTGAACTTGTGAGGATGCAGATAATGAAAAGATCCTAACCTCAAGAGACACCATGCCTTGTTTGCTGTGGGGAAGTTCAAATGTTCGATTCAGATTATTAATGTCATATTAAAATGCCTCATCCTAGCATTGCCTGTTTTACGCCAGTAACACAATGTCCTTGTGTCTACTCATTTTTCTTGACTTTCTTTAAGATGGTATTTAACTTTGAAGTTGTAGAACTGATGACTAAAAATGTAGTTTCATTACTCCTGAGGTCATTTAATTAACTGTTATAAAGTGTTTTAATCTGGCTGCTTGTTGCAGAGAACACAACCACAGCTCCCTCTTGGATGAAGTTTATATTTCAGTTTCAGCTTCAGCCAAATACATCTTTGATTTGGCAACAGTGACAGTGCTGGAGTCTTTGGTAACCTTGTAGTTGATGACTGTGACATCCTGATGACTGCAGTTTCAATTCTGTGAATAGTTCATATGTTTTGGTAAATAATGGCAATTGAGTTGAATACCTAAGTGGGATATATACAGGGCAGTGTTGCCCAATGCTTGCTATTAATTTTTTTTTTTTTTTTAACGAACCCTCTGAACTCATTAATGCAGATAAAGGCAGATAGTGTCTCATACCTTTCATGTGGCTCAGTTTACACCCTTGGAAATGATGAGATGCAAATACAGCACACCCATGTGATGCAACCTTGGTTCTGTTCTCTGAAGCTGGGAATTGCCACGTGTATGATTCCACTAGGGTGACACAGCAGCCAAGAGGCGACCAACAGGTTCTCCAACAGTTCACATTCTCCGGGACATCTCCAGGATTTTGTCCCATATGACCTTCATTCTGGTCACCCACAACCTCGCTGCAAGCCTCTGGTGCATTACCTTCTTCACGCTCACCAGCTCTGATCTCCTTCATAGCCTTTGTGGCCCATAGGATGGATGGAGAAGGCACAGAGAGGAGGGTTCAGCAGTATATCTGACCAGACTTGTGTCTGCTGAAGGCGGCAAGAGGAAAGAACTGAACAAACACAGTCTTGAGCTGGATGGGGGTGTGAGAGAAAGGCTGTCCAGCCAAGAAGGTGCATCTCTAATGAGTGACCTTCAGAGTGTGCTGGTCACCAGGAGACAGTGTTGGGGAGGAGGTAAAGGGGAGACAGTTTCCTTAGCTGCACTCTTGTCACTTTATTTTCAGTAAATACATTCCTGGATAGGAGAACAGAGATACAGTTTTCATCTCTCAAACGGAGCT